AATTACTTTGAACAAATTAAATGCATATTTCGAAAAGATAAACCTATATTAAAATTGCCTATAAGTTTATCTTTAATAATTTTGTGACGAAAATTGTCAAACAATGAATAACTCAATCTCATGATTAATTTTATTGAAACAATGAATTATCAATAATAACAAATATATCCTAATAAGCATGAGTGTAAGGTACGAAGAATTTGGCCAAACACACCTTACCTCTTTCAAAGTGGTTTTCCATTCGAAGTTTTGTAAATGCCAATTGCACGAAGGAAAAGGGGTTGGGTCGTGGTGATGGCACCCACACTCTAATCACCATATTCTGGTTTTCATTCTCATCACTAACACCATCCTATTGGCACCTTAAAAAAAAGTTAACTCTTAATATGTTTGAAAAAATGGTAGATGCCTTCCCCACTAAATTACCGTTAAAAAAAAAAGAAAAAAAAAAAGCATGAAGAAGAGGTTGCTAAGCTCTTCTCCGAAGAGAGACTATAGGAGCATGCAATGCTTTTCCCAAGCAATAATTGCATAGGAGAGCTTAAGATACAGAAAAATAAATCGTAAAGTTTCAGTAAATATTGCCCAAATTTAAATTTTTGTTTCAAAGTCATAGCCAAAAGAGTGTATACAGTAACAACAAATTTTGGTACGAGCCTTTTATGTACCTGGTATGGCTGTGCTGTCTTTTACTGTATGAGCAGTAATGAGGTGAGATTTCACTTAACTCCATATTATAATAAATGAGTGAGAAGTATTTAATTTCATTTAGAAGGTTGTATTGTCTCCCTAACTATCCAACGAGTTTTCCGGGACTCGTCTCAGCCAAGGTACTTTGCCAACCTTGCTCGGGATGAGTAATTCAGCTAAGTCTGAGTGGATTTGGCTGAGTTGTGCATATCTTTTTTACAATGTATAAAAATAAAGAAAAAAAACAAAAAAATTTCTAAAAAAATAAAAAATTAGAAAAAGTATTTAGAGATAATAAAAACCATTAAAAAGCTAAAAAAATATGAAAAACATATAAAATATGGACTACTGGAAATTTTAATTTATACCTCAAATATTTCAGAAAACATATAAAAAGAAGAAAAACGTGAAAGATCCAAAGTCATCCTAAAACTATCAGAATCATCTAAAAATCATTTCTATCATTTCTATTTCTTAGATTTTTTTAATATTGTTTTTTTTTTTTTAGGGCGATTTTGGGGGAGTTGAGTTGGGCACCGAACTCACCTCGTCGCCAGGGTGAGGCTAAGTCAACTTGGCCGAGTTACATCACACAGTATCTAATCTCCAACCAAGATCATGAAACCCTAAAAATTTAAAGTTTTGTAGTTTAAAGTGTTCTGAGGAAAAGGAACACTCATTCACCCAAAAAAACGAAAAGAAAATCCAAAAATGAATGAAATGGAACTATTTAATTCGTTGCGATAGGTGGCATTAGGAACTAAGGGTTTTCAAGATCAAGGAGCAAATATTTAGTTTGGAAAATTAAATGTTCATGTACGAGTTGGAAGGTACCGGTGAGAGTCAAAGGGATTAATAAATGAAAAAAGATGCAGCTTATATAAGGCCTAGGCTTTATAAAAACAAGTTAACGCTTACCTTGAATCCTCATTCTAAAAACATTTTATGGCATCAAAAATCTAAATGATGGCTTTAAAATCAATTTTTAAAATTTAAAACTCAAAAATTTAAATCTGATGTATTGTAAACATTTATCTTTTGGGTGAAGTAGACGGTTTAGATATTTTATTATATTATATACTATTTTTAGGTCATAAAATCTTAATATTTTTCACAACCATGATGAAAGTTTTCCAACACCATAATTGTAACTTTAGGTAAATTTTGAGGTGAAGCGATACTTGTTTTGTTAAGGCTGCAGCCATATAAACCCATTTTCTAAACCCATCCAACAACCACCTGCTTCCTCACACTCTTTGAATGCTAGGTCCGCCCCTTTAAATACACACTCCTACCCCCTCTTAACTGTTACAACTTTACATCTCTCTTTCTCTTTCTCTCTAGTAATGGCGATCTCTTCAGGAGGTGAAAATGCAAGGCCAGTTTGTGTAATGGATGCTTCAGGGAACTTGGGTATTGGACTAGTGGAGAGGCTTTTGAAGAAGGGCTACTCTGTTCATGCTGCAGTTCAAAATGGAGGTCTGTTCACTTTTTTTGCTCTCTGTCTTTCACTAAAACGATTTCTTTTTCATCTCCTCCTCTCTTTCATTCGACAAGTTGCAGAGGGGAGTTTTGAGAAGAGAGTCAGCCTTTTGAGTTGGGTTTTGTTTATTTATTTGTTTGCTTAACCATGTGTTTATTTATCGTAGATGATGGCCAAATTCTAAGGAAAATGATCACTGAGAATGAGAATCTGAAGGTTTTCGGCACCGATATGATGGATTATCAGAGCATTATCGATGCCATTAAGGGTTGCTTTGGCCTTTTCTATGCCTTCAAGAGTCCCATGGATCAATCGGATTATGATGTGAGTTCTTCTTCTTTTTTTTAAAAAAATAAACCTACTGGAAAATTCAAATCCTCAACCATAATTGGATTCTCACTTAGAAAATTCCTCTACTTGTCTTTTGGACATTGATGATTTATGTGCAACTGTGCATGAAAAATAGGCAAATTTTGAGCTAAGCTATAAAGTGGTTTTCTCTTTCACAAAATGAGCCCAAATTTTGTATTTCCATATCAAATTCATGCAGCAGAAGTGTTTTGCCTGTTTAAGCTTATGGGTACCCGACTAATCCACTAAATTAAGGGGTTAATGGGGTTTTAACGTGTTAATTTTTGTAATTGTAGGAGTTCTCAGTGGAAACTGAAGTCATGGCAGCACATAACGTGCTAGAAGCTTGTGCTCAAACAGAGAGCATGGAGAGAGTAGTGTTCACTTCATCGGTCACAGCCGTTGTTTGGAAAGGTGACAAGAATCAAGCATCAGATGTTGATGAGAGAGATTGGAGTGACCCCAACTTGTGCAGAAAGTTCAAGGTATTTGGCCTGTCTATATTTGAAAATTTGAGTTCATATCAAAGATTTGGATTTACGGCGGATCAGGATTAGTGTTGGCAACTCCAATTGGTTTGAAAAAGGCTTTGCCGCAAAATGATGATCGAATGTTTGGATCTCTCAAAAAATAAAAAGCTTTGCCCATATAGGTTTGTTTTCGGAGTATATTCGTTTGACTCTTTTTTATTAGAAAAAGGGGAAAATTTTGGACATAGTTTGTTAAGGGAACTCCTAATCCAGGCTGAATACCCCCAACATGGCCCTTTCCAAAAGTTATTTTGAACATCATGCTGAACCGTTATTAAATGCAAAAATTAGGGAGAGAATAGCATTTTTATCATCTTTTTTCGAACATCGTGCTCTCTAATCCCATAGCTTCGAAAATTTAACCTTAAAAATTTGGGTAGGAGCCGGTATTCCCCCCTGAATAACAAAAAATAAATAAACTTGCATCCGACCATTTTCGAAGTACTTTTTGTACAGCACAGAAATTTTGTCTGGATGTATCGACTTTACCAGGGTTTTCCATATTGGTTCAAACATAAGTGCCAAGAACTATAACAGCCATAAGGCTTTTGTTGAAACAAAAAGTTGTTATTTTACGCTTTACTTATTTTGTGAGGGTTCCTAAAAATGGGTAGGTTTGCACATGGCTTGTACTCCTGGCATAATTCAAGTTTCGAACCGTTGACCAGGGAGTAAAGTAACAGCCGTTATAACGGTAAAAACAACGTTATTCAAAAGTTGCCTTACATCTCTATATTTTCCATAACCCCGTAGAACTTCAGTCAAATTTTAAATTTTCGGCCGAAACTCACTGAAATTTTATTACTTTTATCAGTTGTGGCATGGCCTAGCAAAGACCCTTGCGGAGAGAACGGCTTGGGCCCTAGCAATGGACAGAGGAGTGGACATGGTCTCAATAAACTCAGGTCTCTTGACTAGGCCTCAAATCCCTCTCTCACATCCTTACTTGAAAGGAGCTGCCGAGATGTATGAAGGCGGGGTGTTTGTAACGGTCGATATTGGCTTCTTGGTGGATGCTCACATATGTGTCTATGAGAACCCTTCAGCTTATGGCCGTTATATTTGCTTCAACCAACTCATCAATAGATCCGAGGACGCAGCGAGATTTGCAAGGATGCTAAGGCCCCCCGTTCCGAGCCCCCCATCAAGGTAAATATGAGGGGTCAAGTATTTACTCACTCTGGTGAAAATCTACTCTAGAAATAATATTTTCAATCTACAACTTTTAGATCCACTTTAGAATCACTTGATGAGTGTTTTCAAGCTGAATTTTTAAACACTTAGATCGGACTGATAAACAAATTGGGGGTCTTTACGACGTTAGTTTTTTCAAGCCTTATTTTTTGTTTGGCATAGTTTCTAGGTTGGGGAGGTTACATCCCCCATTGGTGAAAAATCAAAAATAAAAAAATACTTCAACTCTTTTGTGAGGCACCTCCTTCCGTTTGGGAAGGTCAGGTATTCTTTTGTCCCTTCTAGGGCAATAATTGAAAAATACCAAAAAGCGTAGCACCATCTCAATTACGAGGGGCATAAAGGCAATGTATAAAAAATCAAACTTTTTTGGTTTTAACCATTTTTTATGAAACAAACTTTGGTATTCCCCACCTATTCTAGGTACAAACTATATTGCTCTTTAAATATTTAAAAAAGAAAAAAACCAGAGAATTAATTTATAACTTTGATTTTGTGATTATTTTTTTTTTAAAAAAAAAAACCTTTGATTTTTTTATTTCCTATTTAATAATTTGATATAAGTAAAAATCATCAATTCATAATTTGGGATTTAACTTATGGGTGTCCTCTATTTCTTGTTGCAGTGAGGATTCCAAAATTTATGAGCAAAGAATCACCAACAAGAAGCTCAACAAATTGATGGTGGATTTTGAGAGAGAAGATGAGAACCAACAGTGTATCTAACTTGCTTTGGGCCTCTTTGTCGATAGAAGTGAACCATGTACAATTTTGAAAAGCCTAAGAATAACACTCTTCAGATTCCAAAGAATCAAAAGTTTAAGAAAAAGGTTGAAGAATCTGAGAGGTGATCACTGTAGAAAAAGAACTTTGGGCAACCACCAATCACAGGTGGACCCATCCACTCTTATCTTGTTCATAAACAAACTATGTTTAAATAAGTAGTATTATATTTTGTATGGCACAGAGAGATTTCTTCAATGGAATATCGTCTCATCATAAAGCAATTTCTTTATTTTTTATTTTTATTGTTTTAACTTTTGGTGGTGTCGTGGGGCGTGAATTATGTGGTCTCATACGTGGGAATGCTTGGTTTTTGTGAAGTTGGATAATAATTCAGTTGAATATTAGTGCATATCGGACGTATGATACACGTGGTGCACCGACCTAGGCCCTACTATGACAACGAATTGTACTTAGTCGCAACGTTTCATGCGTGGAACTCATTTGAAGAGAGAAAAGGGTAGTGGGTGCTTTTAGATTTTATCAAAATTCCTCATTTGAAGAGAGAAAGGTAGCGGGTGTTTTTAGATTTTATCAAAATTTAGCATGAATCCTGAACATTCAAATATCAGAAGATATGGCTTTTAATAAAGTGGAATGATCGATTGAAAAATGTTTTAAGGTTGACAATGTGTTCCATCAGTTTACCTTGTTTTTTTTTTAATCGACGTGGAATAAAAGACATGTTAAATAATTGAAAATGCATATCTGTTTTGAATCCATCTGATTGCAAAACTCCAAAACCTAATGTAGTTGAAATGTATATTGGACGCGGTTAGCATGGGCCAGCCTGCATAATATAGAAATGTGGGCTTGGCAATATATATATATATATATATATAATTTGATCTTAATTTTTAGAGAATATATAATTTTTAACATGGAGATCATGAATATGAAAAAATAAGATAAATTAAAAATTGAAAATAATAATTATATTAGTTACAATTGTGTTTAGATGGACCACTTATTTGCATCCATCTTTAATATGGATGTCTTATACCTCTCGACCGACATTGTAGAAATGCGGTCCAACCTGCATGTTCATATATATTCGCCTTGGGGCCATCCATTTCCATTAGTAGAAATTGTGCACATATGATGATGGTGTAAAACAAATAAAAAATGTATTACTTTCAAAGTCCAAATCATTTTTTCCTTCTCAGCTTCATGATCGTAGATTCGTAGCGGATGAAGAAATTTTGGTCCACGATAACTATCTAAGACAGTCTCGGAAGGGGAAACCTGGTTCCAGTTTAATTGATTAAGTTGGGCCTTGAATATGAATGTTGAGACAAAACTGGGCCACTCGGCCTCTGAAAAACAAGGATCTGGGTTACAAATGTGGTGTGAGGACCTAGCTTGGGTTAAGCCATGACAACCTTAGGGTAGGGTCTGGTCCCAGCCCCTACGGCCCGAAGGGGGCTTCATTAGGCCCTTGCCAGGCTTCGACTAGGCTCTATCCTGACTTGGTGAGCCGGTAGGGCTCGGACGGTTTCCAGCCCTATGACCGTGGCCCTCCATCCACGGGACTCCTTATTTCCAGCAAAAGCCACTTTTTTCATAAGCATATGCGGCAGGTCGGTTTTGTAGATCTCCCTGGCCCCTAGGGAAATGAAAGATCAAATCAATAAGTTAATTTCCTTGCTGTTTAATTATCAACGGTTTACTATGCATTTTCAACCACCCATTTTCTATTATCAACCACCCATTTTCTATTATTAGAGAAAAATTTACCATGGATAAAAAGTATCATGTAAAGAATCGTAATATTAACAATAGCCTCAATTTGCTTCACGAAACTGACTCACGAAGAAGACGAAGAAGAAGAAGAGGCCATTCTCATTTCCAAGACCTATTCTCAGTTCATATATTTATTATGCTTGTCTCAAGAGTTAAACACAATTAAGAATGAGTTACAGATGACAATATAAACTCATGCAATAGTGACATGATTTCCTAAGAATGAGTTACATATGACAATATAAACTCATGCAATAATTTCCTGCTCAAGTGGAGCATACTGTCCACTCCGTCTCTCCAGAAAAAGTCATGCTAGGAGTATTTTCTGGACTCTGACTCCGAATTTTGGCAATGTAACATGTAGTACCTATATACCAACCTCAAAAGAAAAACATTATAAAAATAACTAAATAAATAAATCTCACTCCATGGGCCTAAAAAATATAACTCCTCAAGATGTGATAGGGACCATCAGTTTTTTGAGGGCTAGATCTAGATGTTGAATAACTTAAACGCCTTTCTTTCTTTCAAAATATTCATCTAATAATTCTTACATGGATCGTAAAATTACACATAAAACTTCGAAATCGCTATTTTGGCCAAGGGAGTTAGTACACATTATGCTCCAGCGGGAGCATAGCTCAAGACCACTGTTTTTCTTCTTTTTTTTTTCTTTTATCAGAAGTACAAGTACTATACAGGACCAAACAACTCTAAAAGAATGCTAGAGATTAATTCATGGAGTTATAGGATTGAAAACTGGAATCCATGAATATGTAAGGTTGTCAAGTGTGAACACAGGCTCCATCCTTGATGAAGCAGTCAATAAGTTAGTTGAAATTTAAACAATGAGCATCTATTGCGGACCTACACCCTAACCACCGAGCCAAGGCCCATATTTTTTCTAAATGAAAATGAAAGTGATTCAGCTTGAGCTCACAAATGAACTAATTACCTTTAGGTTGCATCATAATGTGGTTTTGATCACTGAGGCATCGCTTCTCTACTGGTTTAAAATTCGAAAAAGTTAATTAAGATTGCAACCTTAAGCTGCAGATGTCAAGTGCATCTCAAAAATTCTGTAAAAAAGAGTGTTACAAAATTAAAAAACTTTCGAATTAATCATCCTGACCTTGAGATGAGATGTATAAATATAGAGAAATGAGCAATAATTTCATGCAACCGTTGTATAGTAATATGATGCAACCACTTTAAAAAACCACCTTATGGCTATTTGTTTGATCCAAAATTTGAAATATACACTCTTTTCATTCTAGTGAACAATCACAAAAAAAAAAAAAATTGAAAACACAATCTAGAAAGTACTTTTTTTAGCCCAATTAACATAGGTTGTTTCATTTTGTTGAGATGCTTAGATCTAGGCCTTAGAAGTATTTTTTCATTTCCAATTTTTTTGGATGGCTTTATTACCATTAGATGAACAATGTTAAAAAAGAAAAAAATCATTTTGAGTTTATAAAGGCTAAGATATTGAAATTTACAAAATGAATGGTTTAGATTCGTTTTTGGAGGGGATTCATTTTGACCATATCTAGGGTTCAAATTGAACTATTTTTTTAGAGATTGATTATTGAGATAAAGAGAGTGTGTGTGTAAATTTTGAGATCATACAAATACTACATGGTTTTCTAGAAGTGTCGTTGCATTTTACTATGATACAACCATTGCATTGGATCATTGCTCTAGAGAAAATAACAATTTCAAGTCTTAAAAATAGTTTATCTTATGATTTATCTAGACTATATATTTTCAAGTGTTTATAGATCTGCTCAATCTATATCATTTTTTAAATTTTAAATTTCATAAGCAGTGTTGGAATTGGATTTTCAAACAATCATAAGGTTTCCGGCACCATAACTATAATTTCCGGCAAAATTTTGCAGTGTATCTTACTTGTATAGTATAAGGTGCGCACCTTATGTAAACCTCACCCTTTAAAATTTCAAATATTTTACATGGGTAGATTAAGTGCCTGTTTGCTATTGTAATATGATTTCCCAAATTTGTTCTTGATTTTATTCTGAAAAATGAATACTTACTTTGTAACCTTGGTATCTTCTCCATGTTCACATATTAGTTCAATTCACTTATACAAGCAAAAAATTCACAATAATGTTAAAAACGTTATTTTAAGTATATTTACCACATAGGCTAATGGTTCCCTCCTCATGAACTGATTGATACTCCTATCCTCATAGTTGAATGCTTCTCTCCTCATGAATAGATTGATGCATCTTTTGCTTCCTAGTAAAGTTCCCTGAAATCTTTTCCATTTGGGGATAATGGTTAGTCCTAGTTCCACAAATAATCCCAAGAATCATAGAGTCGTTACGCCTTGTCCTTGAGGTAGGCAAGGCTGACAACCCACAGTCTCAAAACAGCAAGGACACCTAAGCGGACCGGCGGTGTCCCTTTGTAGAAAAAATTGAGAACGAGTGGCAAGAAGAGAAAGAAAGAAAATACAATTTTACATGGTTTAGTCTCTTGGACCTACATCCACAATTTAAGGGTTATTCTGTTGTTCTCATTATTTCATTCATCTAATCTTAAATAGAAGTTTACAAGATAACAACTAAAATAAAAACTAACTCCCCATATCACCAACTTATCACCAAGATATTCTTCAAATTTAGTTACCCAAAATATGGAATATGGATAACTATATCATCCTTGTACCATATCGAGTAGCTAGTTATACATGGTTATTTCAATACTCTCCCCTCAAGTTGGTGCGCTGATATCTATCAAGCCCAACTTGCTTAATGCTTCTTGAAACTGTACTTTGCTTATGGCCTTTGTGAGGATATCAGCAAGTTGATTTTTTTCTTCTGACAAATGGAGTAGTAATTGTTTTGGCTTGAATTTTCTCTCTCACAAAATGACATTCTGTTTCTATGTGCTTAGTGCGTTCATGAAATACGAAACTTAATGCAATATATGTAACAGCTTGATTGTCGCAGTTCATAACCATTGGAAGGAAAATATTGAAACCCATATCCCTAAGAAGAAATTCTAACCAAATTAATTTGCAGGTTGTAGTTGATCGGACTCTGTATTTAGCCTCTGCACTAGATCGAGCAACCACATACTGTTTCTTACTTTTCCAAGTTACAAGGTTCCCCCTACAAAAGTACAATACCATATGATGGATCTTCTATCTGTATGATTATCTGCTCAATCAACATCAGAATAAGCAATAAAATCAGTATGACCATTTTTTTTTCCATTAAAAATCCTTTCTCAGGAGATGACTTAAGGTACCTTAAAATTCAATTGACAACTTCAAAATGAGCAGTTTTTGGAGAATGCATGAATTGACTTACCATACTGAGCAATATCAGGTCTAGTGATAATAAGATATATAAGTCGACTAATCGAACGTTGAAACATCCCAATGTCTTCCAAAGCTTTGCTTGAGTCTATGTTGGCTTTATAATTTGTCTCGAGTATCAATAG